TCAATGCGCCGACGTCTAGACGCATGCGTAATGTCTGAAGGTAGACATATTGAACATTTACTATGATTTCTACATGTTGTGTGTTTTGTTATTAATAAATTAGTTTTATTACCCTTCAATCATTTAATGCAGGTACTAACTACAAAATAACAATAAATCCAGTTCGCATTTATGACGATGTATCTCTGTAGTTGTACGTAAAATAATTTTTTGCTGTGAACTGGTTTATTTTGGGCAAAAAACCCAAGGGACATTTCCTGTTTAGAATGAAACAGGCTATCGGAAATAAATTTTTAAATGGTAAACAAATAATAAGACAAAAAGTTACATTGGAAATAAATTTTAGAGGTTGCGTTTTCCACCCCTTACAACCATTGGGTAAACCAAATAAATTACTGGCTAAGTGTCTTTTTGTTAGTACAAAACGTCAGGTTAATTTCAATATTGTAACTTTTTCAGTGCTTGTGAGAAAAATTGTTATACAAATTTTATGTAGCCCCTTTAAAGGGCTGTATCTTTACAAGGGATGCTCCAATGAAGTTTCTTTATATGAAAGATCCTATCTTTTTTTCGATGAGGAATCACCTCCTTAAATGTTTTACACTTATTCAGTTACACCCTGTATATATTTTCTCATCTGCATATCTCCTTAATATAGTCTTTAGACTTATTATAAAAAAAACACCAAATTTCAAACAAATATCACAACTTTTGGAAGAAATTTGCAATTTAGAGATTACCTTCCACTCATCACTTGAATCAGTTTCCACAGCAGAGTCAACGGCAGGTTTTTCATGTTCGGTGTAAGATTTAACCAACTCTACTGACTGAAACAAACAAAAAAACACAATTTACCTCAAAAATTTTCCAGTCAAAATAAATATTTTCATTTGTTGTTATTATCATCAGCAATTTTTTTGTTTTTAAATGTGTGTTACACCGTCCCCACTGTAAAATGTCATCTTCCTCGAGATAATATTATTATAGCATCAAACTCACCTCCAGCATTTCATCGTTGAGCCCGTTCAACAGAAAACCTAGAAATTCTTCGGCGTCTTGCTGCCTACCCTCGATCCAGTCGGTTCGCATGCTATGCAGCATTTTATAAATCCACGTCGGACCGAACGGGATACCCGTATTGACCATAACTGTTTGGTCGTTCTTGACATTTTTGTCCACTCTCCTGTCTTTCGTCCTAATGTTGGCGGGCAAGAAGTCGAACTGCCTCACGAAACGGCACCTGAAACAAATCAAGGATTGTAGAAAAACGAGACTTCCCCAAGGCTCGGTGTTTGGACTCTCCTATACCACCACGTACAAAGAGAAGATCATACTTACATTCCATCTATAACTGGGGAGGATTTTCTTTTCTCGTTCGACGAGATGTTCTTGCTCAAGCTGTTCAACAAGTTGAAGAGTGGTGGGCACGCAATCAGGGCTTGCAAAATAGAATTGACATAGCAGTAATTGCTTTCATTGAGCAAACCCCTTGGCATCAAACTCACTGCCCTGTTATCGATCGTATACGTAGTCAAAAACTCGCCCATCCTGTAACTGTCAGGATCCACAAACTGGTCGGCCCTTCTGGGGTGCTTGATGGGACACGTGAGTAGATTGGTTTCGTCTTTGACAGCATGGCCAGAAGCGTCTTTGTTGAAACTATTGACAGGTGCAGAAGTAGCATTAGCGTTGCCGGATTTGAACAGACTTGCCCATGATTTCGCGGCAGGGGTGGGGTTCGTTACTTCAACTCCGTTGGGAATTACTTCTTTTGGGGACACTGCAACTCCGTTGGGAATTACTTCTTCAGGAAACTGCTGCAATATATACATCCTTAATTGAATACGTGTTTATAACCAGTCAGACAAGGATTGATTGGTATTTTTGAAAGGACAAGTCCCTACCAATAATTATAAAATGATATCGAAGAATAAGGTTAGGTCTTCTTTAGATATACTTAGAAAATTTTATCTGTGGAAATGCAATGCTCACATTATTTGATGCATGTGCCGAGTGTTTTAAATCATTATATTTTATTTTTCTTTCCTCTAGTTTTTTCCTAAAATTACTAGAGCTGTAGATAGGTATAAGAAAAAAAAATAAAGGACTCGGGGAATTCCAGATTCTTAGATGACCTTAACTAAAATCGAGATAAATAAGAGCAGATTTACAAAAACGACCCTGTGAAGTATTTCCCTGAATTCATAGTATTGAATTGAAAGATGTTGTTAGCCGTATTCAGTTCGAGATTAATAATCAAAATGTAATTTTAAATAAGGAAATAGACATTGCTAATAATTTCAATTTATATTTCATATATAGTGTAAATGAAATAACTTCAGTTTTTCAAAATGTACAGCAATGGACCCATGACTACCCTGTTATATCAGCTAATTTCACTGAATTCTCGCCTTTAACAATTAATGAACTAAGAAATATTATATTCTCGCTTGACAAAACTAACAAAGCAGAAATTTTAAATGATAATTTCTTAAAAAAAAGCTTTGATGTGGCTGGGTACGCAATATTAAATTTAATTAACACATCACTTAGAACCGGTGTGTTTCCAGATCAATTTAAGATTTCCACTGTTGTTCCTGTACCGAAAATTAACTCAATTAAAGCTGAACATTTTAGACCATTAAATATACTACCAACTCTTGAAAAAGTGTTAGAAATGTCTGTATATAACCAATTAATTCAGTACTTTAATANATAAATAATAATTATAATAATATAACGATAAAAAAATTCAAATATAAAGAGTAACAGCAGCAAGCATTTTCCAGTTAGCTACTGTTTTTTCACAAGCTTTTATTCAGTTTCACCTGTCTCGGTGTTTGCCTGAAGTCAAATCTTGCAAGTTAATTATGACACACTTCTAGTCTTTTGATTGATTTGAAATTCAGTAGCCGTACATAATTGCGGTGACAATGCATTACGAAATTTTTGTTAGAGAAAAACACAAAACGGCGGCTTCAATATGGTGGACGAGTTTTGTATTTATGAACCGATTCAATTTTGACAGCTGATTTATGATTCTGCTGTCAAAATTGAAAATTTCTAAAATTTAAGATGGCGGCTACAATATGGCGGACAAATTTTGTGAGTATGATCCGATTCTATTTAAAATCTGTACCTGAGATTATGATTTTTTTGTTAAAATTGAAAAATCCATGATGGCGGCTCCAATATGGCGGACGAGTTTTGTAATTATGATTTAATTTAATTCACAATTTTCATCTAAGGGTTTTCCTGGTAGTAGATTATGATTATTTCGGTGTCTGCCTGAAATCAAATCTTGCAAGTTGAATATGACATACTTCTAGTCGTTTGATTGATATGAAATTCAGTAAGTGTACACAATTGCGGTGACAATGCATTACGAACTTTTTGTGAGAGAAAAAAAACAAACAGCGGCTTCAATATGGTGGACGAGTTTTGTATTTATGATCCGATTCAATTAAAAAATTGTTACCTGGGAGTTTTTGGAGCCGAAGATTATGATTTTCTTGTCAAAACGGAAAAATCCAAGATGGCGGCTCCAATATGGCGGACGAGTTTGTGTATGTCTGTATGTACATGTACACACATATACAGACACACATGTTTTCATAAATGTAGTAGTTCAGAAGAAAGCTGAATAGACAAGTTGTATTTGCTTGCAGGAGTAAACAAATATTCAACTTTTGAGTGGTTCTATAGTATGATCAATTTCACATTATTAATATCTCTCAAATCGCTAGGTGAGTGGTTAAAGTAATGATATTTGTACTGTATTGACTCAGGATTGTATCAAAAGTTATAACCAAACCATACTAATTGCACCCGACATTCTTTTATACTGCCAATGAAGTATTTATTGAATAATTCGGCAATGTCAAGCAGATTTTCAATTATTTCGCAATTCCGAACGAGTGATTCAGTCGAAATCAACTATATAGTGAATATTAGAAAATCAATGCACTCACCGACGGTTCAGCCGGAGGACTCACTTCAGCCTCATTTTGAATTCCCTCCTCTTCCTCTTGACCATTTTGTTGCGGGTCTTCCGAAAAAACTTGACCATTCTGCTGCGAGTCTTCCACCACACTGCCCATCTTCGGTGCTTCCACCGTCTGCTGATAATCGAATCCACTGTTGTGAGGGTACCCATGAACTGCGGGATTCTGTTGCACAAAGACATGGGGATAGGGGGGCGACATCGGAGAGAGGGCGTTATAATAGATGACGCTCGATTGGGGATGCGGATAGGGCAGCATCGGCTGTACCATCACGGGCGGATGCTGGTGGTACATCGTCGGGGAGATCACAGTGTGCGGGTAGTAGTCGTAAGGCGAAGATACAGCTATGGGTTGTATCTCAGGAATACCTTCCTGGGTTTGGACGTTTTCCCTCTGCTGCTGTCTTCCTGTTCATGAAATGAATTTCTGATATAAACCAATTTGCAATGCGACGTTTCTTTCATTACATTTCATCATCAACTTTATTTTTTCAAATAAGGACTTTTCGGCAAGATCCTACTTGCCATATTCATGTTCTCTACTTAGTTGCTTTCAACTAATTAGATGCTTCAAAGAAATATAGTTTATTTTATATAGTATCACAATGATTGGTGCTAACTTTTTCAAATTACGTCGAGCTGGATATTCCACGAAGAAGTTTCATAGAGATCGCACTTTACCAATACCTAGTGAGGATAAAGACTTGTCAAAATTCTATTTCTGTTAAAGGGGCAAGGTTTCCAATGATTATATTTCAGAAATTAATGATGCTGATTCAAAATATGTTAAAGAAGCATCTGATGAAAGGATGCAATTTCAGTCTTCAACTAAATAAAGGATTTGTTTATAATTTGATGAACAACTTCAATTTACAGACCTAGTTAACCATATTGTGGTAAAGGCGGCAGAATGCCTTGATTCATTATTCAACGTTGCTCTCTTCAAGTCTTAAAGATAGTTCACGTGGCTCTTGTAGTCTCAATATTAGATTATGGCTCGATAATATTGTCCTCATTTTATGATAATAAATAGATTGCCGTTGAGAGAGTACAAAACAAATTCTTGAGATTTTGTGGTTATGAAATGGATATACCTCCAATGTTACAGTGATTTGTATAAAATGGTGACCAAATAATCGAGCCATATTCAAAGCGGGAGACTATCAAGGCAAGATACATCATCCTTAATACTTTCGAAAGATGAATATTCAGTGGTCTTGACAATTTGATACCTGTTTAGTAAGTAATAATTGTATTGTCGAGCTGAACTTCTGTACTAACCTGAGCTCGACTTGGTTTTAGTTTTTTTCACCCAGGGCAGCTGAACACTGGCGTCATATTGCTGCAAAGACGTCCTAATCCTGTTCTGCTCGACGGAGTCAATGCCGCTCAAATCTATGAACTCTATAGAGCGCTGAAAAGTTAATGCAGTTATGTTAATACGTGATGATTATTCATGACACCCCGCCAATTAATTATGTAAGTAGAAAGGCGACCAAAACCCGACAACATTTTTTGATTGCAAGAGGTTAGAGACCATTGGGGAGGTCGGCAGTACTTACTATATCACACATGTCCATCTTAGCGGAGTAACTTTTGAAATCGGCACTAGATAATCAAATATTCATAGCTCCTTAATGTAAACAAATTTCTAAACAATATTTTATAACCATAAGTACAATCGGAAGGTTAAGTTCCTCACATTACAATTCATCTCAAACACAAACCAGCTACTGGAATATCGGTCCTCGTTCCTATATTCTTATTTTAAAGAAAAATCCCCTAGATTATGTCAGATGTCATTGTTAAAATGCCTTTGGTGCACACCCAGTGTGTGCACCGAAATGTATAGTTTATTAATCTGTGTATATGTCCTTAGTGTCAGCTGTCGTATATATATATATATATGTGTTCGTAAATTCCATTTTTTAAATTCAATTTGCTATTTGAAAGTCGTTTAATTTTTTTTTATTATGGCGTTCACACCAATAAGCATTTTCTCAACACATTTTTTTCTGAGTTGGCTACCTTGTTTATTTGTCAAATTTAATATATCGAATTTAAGAATCAGCTGGTCGGCAGAATATTCAAGATTACGACAACATAGAGAAGTACTATATAAATCATCCTCGCTAAAAAAAACCTTGATGTCATCAGTGTTACTATAATATAGGACTTTTCTCTGGAGATTTAAAAAAATTTTCTTCACAGCGCATATTGGATTATTATATAATGGTACCAACCGTAAATATTTTATGAAAATTTATATTTATCTTTACCGAAATGATATTAGACACTCCAATTTGTATACAAAATATAGAGAAAAATTATGATTGAGAAGGGTACTTTTTACACTATGTTCTAACAAAGGCAGTATCTTCATTCATCGATAGAACTCTCATCAAGTATCAAATTGTAATAAAAACTTGGAAAGTATCTTTGGGTAAACAGCAGAACGGAAATGTATATTTCGATAAATGTATTATCACCTTCAGGGAAAAGCTACAAAATGTGAAGGTGACTGTGTCAAAAAAGATGTGAAATTTATAAAAATGATACATGTCAGTAAAACCAGTCACTAAGTTGAAATAGCTCACTAAAGCACAATGATTACATGAATATTCTTGATAAAACATCCGAATGTGTTTAAAATATAATTTACCGGTATAAAACCATAAACATGCTCGGTACCGACAAGAGAGAGACAAGAAACATGACATTGACATCTGTTATGGAATTTGATATATTTGTCCCTCAGAGTAACAATTATTAATCTGAGGTGTGTCCATGCTGAAACTATGGAACAGTTTCGGGGCACGAGTGATGAGAGACATCTGCTGTTAAACTATGTATACCAATGAGAAAACTCAATGCTAAATTTATCAAAAAACTTTAGAAAATTCGGAATTTAATTGTTAGAACTTCATTCTCACTTCTTTGTTATGTGGAAAGAAACTTAATTCTTTTATTAAGAAAAATATATGAAGTAGTAAATGAATGAATGATAGGAGTGAAAGTTATAATTTATTCCGGCAAAATTTCAGAATTATTACTACTTTGGAATTTGTGTATATTTTTCATCAATGTCTAGCAAAATAGCATATTTCAAAATCTATACCTCACGATTCAATCTCCACAAACTTTGTGGAGATCGAATCATGAGGTGTAGTTTTTGAAATTACTATGGATCTTCATCAAGTAATGGCCGAATCAATCAGAAAAAAAAGCATATATTTTGCTGAGGTTTTCTTCTTCTTGTCTTATCTGAAAGTTATTTCTTTGTATGATCTATACATTTTTGTAACGAGTTTATTTTGGAATCAATTACTTTGTTCCTTTTTTTGAAAGATTTCCACATTTTTTTGTATAAAGATGGAAAAGTAGGAAGCTAAAACTTGTTTTCCAAAAATTGATCTCCGCCTTTCAATTTAAAACCATCTCAGAGTAACAATTATTATTACTCCGAGAAAATCTAATATTTTTGACCAATGACGTTATAATATGGATTGGCTTTTAAGTCACTCTTGCCACAGTATTTCTGTATACAAAATACTGTGCTCTTGCACTAAATGTCAGATACAACGTCACGATATTACATATTTATTTGATAATTTTAGGATTTGATTTGTAACGGTGCTGTGACGCAGAGTCAATATTTCGTGTGACCTGCAGGTAGAATATATGTACACGTGACGTCATGGCCAGGTGCATATTATTTCATGTACGTCTTTGTAACACATAACCTATTCGCGTAGTCTAAACAAAACTTGTCCACTTTCTTAATTAAGGAAACAACTTGATAATAAAATCATGGGTGAGTTTTATTTGTGCATAAATACTATTTGAATTGAAGAAAACGTTTTTCTGCGTCTCAACAACTTTTTCCATTCTTCACCATTATTTTATAGAAAATGAACAGAAACTTTGCATTCCTAAAATCCCTTTCGGACACTCTGGTGATCCCAGCGATTTTACCTTATTCGGCAACAATATTGAGGATAGTATACTTGACAAAAATAGTTCAGCAGAAAAAGAATACACGCAAGTCTCTTCAATTTTCAAAGAGAACAGGGAGAGGAATACTGATGGGTTAGGGAAAAGACATTGCAATATTTCCTCATCAGAATATCTACAGGGTGAGTACACAATCTGAGCAAAAAATTTTGACTGAAATCATTCCACATTACCTTCCCATATCATAGGGCGGTTCGCTATATTGAATTTAGGGTGACGTCATGTTATTGTTTTTATTCTTTTCAACAAAAAGGTTTCATTTGATCCAACCAATTATTGTTATCTGAAACAAAATTGTGAAGAGCGCATAGAGCCAAGACGAATCTTTGTTTTTTTCTGAATTTTTATTAGTTCAGGAGACTGTGACACTCTGTTTTATTTAAAAAAATAATTAAAACATATCTTTACATAACTACTTTTTCAGGGGAATCTTCTTCGTGGCCTAATAGATCTAGCCCCATACCGGTTTCAAATACTAGTCCAAAAGATGGTGTCTCACAGATGAATCAAACTTTTAAAAAAATCTTGGAATTCAAGTCATGCAAGTTGTACCCTCCCAAACCTGGCGATACAGAATATTCCACTCGCACCAAACCGCCTGGATGTAAGACAGTATGTGCGAGAGGGTTACCGCGGTGTGTTTCCAAACACACAATGAGAGAGATATTTAAAGTGTATGGCAAAATCAAGGACCTGAAGATGGAGAAAGATTGCTGTTACATACAGTTTGTAGAAGAATCGTCTGTGGATCCTGCTATGTCTTTATCGGGCTTTAGAATAGTTATGCAAGACCGTCTAGGTGGATTGATTTCCCGGTTGATATGCATGGATTATGCAAAGGTAAATATAATGAGAGAGAGAGAGAAATATTCTTTATTGTCTAAAGAACAAAAATTCTTATTGAAGCGTATCTTAACTGAGCAGTCAAAAATGGCAGACAATCCACCACATACCGAGAAGTATGCAACAATGTTCGTCCTTTTTCATTGCTCTAACACACCACAGAGGGCGCAATCATATTGAAGTCGTTTTGAGGGTACAGGGTGAGGCAAAATTAAGTAAATAAAAATAAATATGTTAGCCTTTCCGCAACAAGTTGAAAAAAATAGAGACATAACAAAACTAACACAGGTCAAGATCTTCACATGATGTGGTGCTGCAGGTTTTTCTGGGTTTTCCTGCAGCTGAAAAAGCAAATGCTCCACAGGAATCAATGAAGTCGCCCTGAAGCGCTAATTAATTTTTGTTGTTTTATAAATAATTTAAAAATAAATTTTTATTAGATACAAGTAAATAATTCAAAACAAGAAATATAACAAAAAATTAATGTATTTATTCACAGATATACCAATAACAGTAATAAATTAGTAAAAAAATAATGAATAGATCATTTGACTGTATCAGGGGTCTCCAAACTACTGCCCGCCAGTGTCATCAATCCAGCCCACGATAGCCAATGATTTACTGTCATCAGTCTGGCCCGCGACAGCCAATGATTACCTAATTGTTGTTACTATTGCTGTGATAAGTTGAAGAAGAAAACACAGAATGATAATTACTCGGTTTTATTTACTTGCAAGGTAAAACTTAACGACAGAAATGCTGACAAAGAAAATTTAACTTGAGTATCTAAGTTTAAGCATATTAATAACTAACAAGTAATTGAAATGAGTCACAGTAAAACAAAAACACTAATGAGATTTATGTAATTGTGATTTTCCACCGACAATACTTTGTAGTTGTGGATCAATTTTACTTGTACCAATTATCAAAAGAGATTTAAGATGCTCATCAGTTAATTAAGATCTGTAAACATTCTTTGTGTACTTCATCTTGGGAAACATTTTCTCACACAAGTAAGTAGTACCAAAACAGAAAACAACCCACGAGCAAATTTATGCAAATTATCAAATTGTTCCAGTGGAAGACTCTTATAAAATTCCAACAAAGATGAATTTTGATATTTGTTCTTAAGCATATCACTGCACCGTAAATCAATAATTTCCATTTGGACTTCCGGAGCCAGGGTTTCAATGTCAGAATCAAAAGGATTTTGAAAAATCTTAATTTCATTCACAATGACATCAAAATCTGAGAAACGAGTATCAAAATTTATCTAGAAAGCACTCAAAGTTTCGATTGCCAAATTGACGGGAAATTCAGTCTCTGTAGTGTGGCTGAATATTTCACATGTTTCAAAATGTGTGAAACATTTTTTACGTAATTGCGATTGAAATAGTATTATTTTCTGCCTGAAGGATTTGATATTGGTGTATAAATCAGGGAGAAGCTGATTTTCTCCTTGCAATCTCAAATTCAGTTCGTTCATATGATTTGTCAAATTGACATAGAAGGCTAACTTCCACATTCATTCACTATTTTCTAAATCGGCAAAAGGGCGCTGCTTTTCATTCAAAAATTTTTCGATCTCTGCTCGAAGTTCAAAAAAGCGCTTAAGGACTTTTCCGCAACTAAGCCAGCGTACGTCAGTATGATATGGTAAATCATTTTCTCCAATCTGTTGAATAAACTCGCGGAATTGTCGGTGATTCAGCCCAGTGGATCTGATGAAGTTAACAAGTGATATGACTGGTTTTAGAACTTCAGACATATCCAAACATTTTCCACACAAGGACTGTTGATGAATGATACAATGTAAGACTAATGGTTTTGAACCACCATCATTTTCTACAGCCTTTGACACAAGTGCAACCACTCCTTTATTTTCACCATACATATTTTTGCCTCCATCAGTTGTTATAGATTTCAAATTTCTCCATCAAAGGTTCTTTTTATCAATAGCATTTTCAACTCCCTTAAAAATATCTGCCTCAGTTGTGGTGCCGTGAATACTATCAATATCAAGAAGTTCTTCATACACTTCATAGCTTTTATCTACTCCATCGGTGAATGGTTTACCATGTTTTCCGATTTCAAGAGCCACACGAAAGCTGTCGCGAGTTGCAGACTCTTGTTCAGTATTCGCTTTGGTAAACAAAGATTGTTGCGATTTGAGTCCCCGTTTCAAAGCTTCAAATTTTTCCTTCCGCAAATTTCCTGTATACTTGGAGTAACTTTGAAGATGTTTCGATTCATAGTGTCGTTTAATGTTATAGTCTTTGAGAACAGCTATGGTTTCATTACAAATTAAACATAGCGCCTTATTACTGGACTCAATCACAAAATACTGAAAGTTCCATTTTTCTTGGAACGTTCTGCATTCACTGTCGATTTTTCGCTTCTTTTCCATACTAACAAATCACACATAAAAACAATAAGTCAAATCAAAATACTTTTGTTGACGGGTGTTACTTTATTTCACAATAGACAGTTTCGCTTCCTTCGCCTTTCCTTCGCAGACTAACTCGCAGTTGCGCCGCTAGCCTTTTTATATGCAATTATTACTGCCATCTCGAGGTGATCGGAATACACTAGCTAGAACCAGAACTTTCTCGAACCAACGTGGTAATTCCAAATATTTAATTACGCCTAATGCCACCTAGCGGGTAGCTGAAAAAGTACATAGTCGGGTAGCTGAAAAAGTACATAGTACCACTACTCGCCACTAGATGTCGTTAAGTATCACAATACACAATAATAATTGAAATGCAAAAAAGCGTAAGTTTGCTTAGGTTACGCACTTTGCGACTATCCTAGTCCAGAAATATAGTTAAGGGCAGAAATTGACCCTTGGAACAAACTGAAAACATCATTATGGCCCGAAGGCTTCAAAGTTTGGAGACCCCTGGACTACATCATAGACAGCTGTATATTTATAGCATCAATAACAGTATGGTCGAGTATTAATATTTAAAAATGGTAATACATTTGAAATATTTTGCATTTCAAAATCACTACATAGTATTAAACAAAGTCTTTGAAACTATGCAAGGCCGCTCATCGCCCTATAGTACTTTATGATTAGCAGCGATTGCATGTGTTTATATGTATATTTAGTATCAGCATTGCACCCGTGCGAGCCGGGGCGGATCGATTGTACTCGATAAAACTCAAACTTAATATCCAAGAGTATATAGACAGGCAATAGAAATTCAAAAACTCGGGGGGATAATTTCAATGGAAAAAAAGAGTCAATGAACGTTGATAAAATCTGGCTGCCTACCCTGAGAGAAACCAAGCCACGTTCACTAATAATGTTATAAAACAGGGGTTCCCAACCTTTTTGCACCTACGTACCACTTGACTTTTTGAGAAATATTGGCGTACCACCATACCTAAATATTTTAATTAACGTATAATATTTACTCTCCTAAAAGGGTTCAAAGGCTTTTTTAATTAAATTCATGAGAAAACTTCATATTTGATGGTTAGATATTTGTTTATTTATAACATGCTTATAATAAAGGAGGAATAAAAATATTGAAAATGGTATTAATTCACAGTTTTATTTATTACCCATAGGTCTATAAACATACAAATAAAAATTCAGCAAGAAATTAATCATCATACAAAATATACTTTTATATTCTTTAGTGCGAAACTTGTTGTTAGCCTGTGATTAAAATATCAACATTAGGAGTAATGGAACTTAGTAGATGAACAATGCGGATTCTAGCGCAATATCCCATGTAAATTCTTATGGAGCTGAACTTTTTGCAATTTTTGGTTCAAACAGGAGTGGGGGGGACGTGTGACGTCATCGACGCAGGATGAAATGAGTATCGTGGCGATTCAAGCGTGGAACTCCGCCCCTCGGCCCCCTTAGTACTCCGCCTCACCTGCCCTCGGCAGAGTACTAAGGGGGTTAATAGTTATTCGTGAAGACAGTTTTTTTCCTGATATGAGAAGAAGTCGATTATGGAAGATATTACAAGAGCTGATTTTCACTTTTGGAAAGCAAAATAGAAAGAGCATGTTAATAAAAAATCAGAGATTGTAGAATGGAGAAGAAACTATTTAAGAGAAATAAAGAAAGCCAGAGCACTATGTAAATCTATTTTTTTTTTGGATGAAACATGGGTCAATGAGAGTCATACCGTCTCGAAGGTTTGGCAAGATCAGAACATCAAAAGTGGAAGGCAAGCCTTTATGGAAGGTTGGTCCACTGGTTTGAAAATTCCAGTTGGAAAAGGTCGTCGTCTTATCATCACTCACAAAAGCAGCAGTGAAGGATTCGTGAAAGATGGATTGATGGTGTTTGAATCGAAGAAAAATGGGGATTATCATCAAGAAATGGATGCCACAGATTCGAAGAATGGTTTAAAAACATACTTGAAAAACTTCCGCAGGGATCTGTAATAGTAATGGATAATGCAAGTTACCACAGTAGACGAGTCAAGAAGCTGCCGACATCGTGTTGATAGAAAGCAGATATTACTGAGTGGTTACAAATGAAACCTATTCTTTTTGAGTCGACCATGTTAAAAGCGGAGTTCCTTAACTTGGCTAAACGTCATAAGTCAAAACACTTTCTACCAGTAGATACTTTCGGCTCGAAAAAGTTATTGTTTTCCTTGAGTTCCTTGATAATTCTAAAAATTGTCCATCTTTTGACGGGCGGATATTGTATTCTTAAAGAATTATATACATTCATAACAATTGTTTTTTTGTTTATATTTAATGGTGACAATTCCGGACGCTTCACGATTCCCGAACAACTAGCTTCCATGTTGTACAGCTGTTTATTCAACGCGCTCTCGAAGTAAACTGAAGAATATCACGAATAACCCCGCTAAAAAGCCAAGTCGGTCTTATTGATGGGTGCGATATGTCTGTTGACAGTATAATTCAAAGGAATATCTATTTATACCGCCTTCAAAAAAACAATGTTTTTTCAATCTTCTTCAACTAAATACCTATTTGTTGGAGAATGTCTTGGTTACTACTGGACATATTTTAACATTTGTCATAGTAGATTTGTTATTTTGTTTGTTGTGAATGATATTTTTCAAGAATAAATATTGTATGTTCGTCGTATAAATTCATTTATTCAATTCGTTGAGAGTAAATAATTTGAATGCAGTACGCCTATGGCACTTATATTCATTCATTCAATTGGTTAAGAGTAAATTATTTGAATGCAGTACGCCTAAGCTTTAATATAGATGGATATATTGCTGTAGTCTCTCTCATTTCTGAACAGATTAATAACAGCATGTTGCTCACATCACTTACGCGTACCACCGGTTGGGAACTCCTGATATAAAACAAGAGTCAAATACTAACATCGTAGTTACCGTGTTCGAAACGGGAACAATAACACAATGACCATTACCACATCGCCTTTGATAATGTCTCCCGCAGTAGTGGACGAAACGTCAGGCATAAAAACCTTCAGACCACGGCCAAAATCCCGGAAAATAGCTTTCACACAGTTATCTCTTTCTAAAAATCTTGCTGGTCGGATCCCGTTTAAATTTCTTATACGTTCCTGGAACACGGTGGTGGTTTTCTCTTAGACTTCCTGTGTATTTTCAGTACACTTATTTGTTGACCAGCAGGATGACTAGATCTTAAGCCCTTAAATTATTAAATGTCGCCATCAAGATGAGTTAATTATCAATCAAAAGGAGACAATTTGCAGGAAGAAGGTGGGCAAGGCTTATCACAAGTGTCAGATGATCTACAACCTACTGTAGATAAGGTCCAGCATCCTGAAGTACAAGCTGTCATCTGCACAGAAAGTGCCTTAACCAATGCCTTCGCAGTCATCAAACAAAGGGACAAATTTACTGACGCCGTACAGGTAAATGCACGACTCTGAATGAAAAATCGCAAGTAATATACATGCAAAACTTCCAGCTCAAAATCCGATGATTTTTCTTATGGCGCTTCATTCTGGCGATTTTACGAGCTCCGATCGTAACCTTGTGGAGCACCTACCAGTAGATGAACAAGGCTGGTTCTGGTTCACTTCAAGGTCGCGCGTCGTTGATAGGTGTTTCAAAGAGACTTTAGTGAGTGGAAGAGAGACACGTGTGGCGTAGTCGATGCAGAGAAGGATGGAGTGAGTATTGGAGAGATTCAAAGATAAGAGAGTGGATCAGTGAGTCAGAACCAGCCTTGTTCATCTACTGTGGGGTGTTCCGCAAGGTTCCGATCGGAGGTCGTAAAATCGCCAGAATGAAGCGCCACAAGAAAAAGCATGGGCTTTTGAGCTGGAACTCTTGCAGCTATATTACTAAAGCAATCTAAGGAAGTTCTTGACCACATAATTTTTCAGCTCTTGATATCTTGGTTGGAAAAAGGAGATTGCAATACGAAACGATATCAAAAATTTTTTGAGATGATTGCAATAGCCAAGAATCACGTTGATAGACTGTTGGCTCTTAGAAAAAAATTATTAGATGATACGAATAAATCGACTTTTCAACGCAGAGAGGAAGCTGATGAGATTTCTTCACAAAGTAAGTTAGAGCTTATTTCAACTTTTACGGGCAGGACAACGTGACATCAAATATTTTCAAGGCGATTTTATTTTTTCTAATTATTGAATGATTTGAATAATAATGATAATGAGGTTCCTGACACAAGGTGCAGGGCACAATCATTCCAGCGCCGCTCTAACATTTCAATACCACTTTTGTAGAATGATTTATCTTTAGCCTCAAAATGAGCCTCAGTTTCAGTAAAAACCTTTTCAATCAAGCGAAATTTCTTACCGGTAAGAATTTTTTTGAAGTCTGTGAACAGCCAGTAGTCGCTGGGAGCCAAATCTGGCGAATACGGTGGATGTGGGGGCAATTCGAAGTTCAATTCATGTAGTTTTGCCATTGATTTGATTGACTTATGACACAGTGTGTTGTCTTGATGAAACCAAGTTTTTTTCTTTGCCATATGCGGTCGTTTATTTGCAATTTCGGCCTTCAAACGCTCCAATTTACTGTTGATGGTATTTCCCTTCTCAAGATAATAGATGAATAGTACACCACGCACATCTCAAAATACCGAGGCCATAATCTTTCCAGTCGATTGTTGTGCTTTCGGGTGCTTTGGACAAAGTTCATCAGTTAATCTCCACTCAGATGATAATCGTTTTGATTCCGGAGTGAAGGGATGAATCCATGTTTCATCCATTGTCACATATCGACGCAAAAATGTTTAAACATGACCAAACACTGCTCAGAATCATCAAGACTTTCTTGTTTTTGGTCAATTGTGAACTCGTGCGGCACCCATTTTGAACAGAGCTTTGTCATTGTCAAATGCTCATGCAATATAAAGCCAACACGCTCTTTTGATATCGTTACAATGTCAGGTAACTCACGAAACTTCACTCTTCAATCATTCAAAACAATTTTGTGGATTTTTTTCATGTTTTCTGGTGTTACTGCTTCATTTAGACATCCACCGCTCATTTGGACGTCCACCGCGTTCTGCATCATCAGTGTGTAAACTATAATCGGGTATACCACATAATAAATCTTCTACTGATTCCTGAAATTTACAGTTATCCTATAAACTTTAAATATGACCAGATAAATGACTAAAAATCTTAAGACCATTATGATATAAGGAGTGTGACTAGATTAGAGGCTGGTATGTATAATCTTAGGTCATTAGCTTGACGAAGGGCATAATTATTGAAGTAGCCGCTAAATATCAGAAATAGGCCAATTTAGCGGCAGACAAATCAAGTTCCTTATAAGTTATTCTCACTGCAAAACACCTTGAAACCACCTTTTTCTTGAGGGTTACAACGTAATCGGCGAAAATAAGTATATTATCATTTATTATCCCCAAAAATTCAGAACTAGGTCTGTTTTCAATCATCTCGTCCGCGTCCTTTGTTGTTAAATGTATGACGTCAATAGAGTGGCAAAATGATAATAATATTGTTTTGGAAACATTAAATGACAGCAGATTGAAGTCGCACCGGTTTTTTAATTTAAGGTAAATGTTCCTTCTATATTGATAGATGTTAAATCGTATATGTATAACAAGAAAAGTATCGGTCCCAGTATTGAACCTTGTTGTATACAGTTTGTACACTTCTAAATTAGTGTACGTTTTTGTCAGTCAATTGGTAAAGACATGAACGTTTTTTTTTCTTTAAAAAACTCGTTTCTCTTTCTGTTATCATTTACATTCGCAGTCGTATTTAAGCCAATACTGAATTTCCATCTGTTTATGTAGTCAGTCATATCGAGATGCTCTACACTACTATCTGCCAAAAGAAGGTAATGGACCGTTTCTCGGTTGCTCAAAGAAGAATACTACATTCAGAGCGTCTTAACTCAGATATTTCAGGTACTTTAGGTAAATTTGCCTGTATTTGTTCTGCATCAGGTACTCTTCTTCTTCGTGTTAGATCTTCTCTAGGAATGTGTATGGTTTTGTTTAATATATTGAATGTGAGATCTTGTTGTGTTTTGATTTGTACTTGTTCCTCGATAAGTGATTTGTGACTGTTGAATTTATGGATGTTCAAGTTTTCCCAAAAGTCCATGCGGTTTCCCTTGTTGATTTGTTTTATTACTTTTATGTTCTCTGGTGGGGGGAAATTATGTTTGTTTTGTATGGCGTGTGTTGCAAGGTTTGATTTATATACTGTTGGATTTATGTATGCCTTTTTGTGCTCATTGTACCTTTGGATCAGTTTTTTCTTGGTTTGGCCGATATAGAATTTGTTGCAGTCCGAACATCGTATACTGTATATCCCATTTTGGTCTTTGTCTTCTTCTTTTTCATAGTTGTTTATTTTTTGTGTTATCTTCGTGTTCGGCTTGTATGTGATGTTGATGTTCAGTGGTTTGAAGATGTTTGTTAGTTTTTTGGTTTGGTGCCTCCCTAAATTGAATACACCACGGCTGTGCAGCCCCACGCTGGAAAACGTCGAAGCCATCATTTTCAATGGCAAGTTTCCAGTGTTGTCAACTGGATGAACTATAAAGTCGCTACACAGACTCGAGTACGATCACCGTATACCATTGTCCAAATTTCAAGTGTTTTCGAGCACTCAGTTATATTTTTTGAATAAAACTTGATGCACATTTTTTTATTCATTTTTTTTCGATAGAAAAAGATCGCCGAACACGCAAAACACTTTTAACTTGTATGCCCCTCACCAACAAATTAAACACGATAAACAGCTGAAACTGTGAACATATGTTCGAGACGGGTGTACCAACATTATATATAAAAAATCGCTAATTGAATATGCGTAGCCCGCGAAATTTGAATATTCGCTTATTTTTTGAGCGGACCTCGTATATTGTACTTAAATAATTTATTATTTCTCATTTGCTTCTGAAAACTGCCAAAAATTATGTATTGTTAACGCTTCAAAGTAGTTATATTCACGTGAAATTCAAACGAAAATTATATTAAAACTGTTTTTTGAAAATCACAAGTCACTTCACTGAAGCTGTAGATGTCCACTGAGTGAAATATTTAATCCAAATAGTCAAAGTATATCACAAAAGGAACTCGAGAAACACTGGTTTACAGGTATAACTGAACGCATGCCTTTTGTACTCTCGGCATCATGACATTGTCATCTAAATTTTGACGAATACCATTTAGATTGCGAAACGCCCCTGATACATGGCAGCGGTTAATAGTATTGATTATCTATACATCATCATGCCTGAAATGTCTTCATATTTTGTGATAATTTTCATTATGTACGTTTGTCGACTTTTCCAGAAAAATCAAGAATTTAACGACAACGTTATGCTGGGCGAGACTAGTAAACTAACTATGGATGACTCGATCGTGAAATCAAAGAAAAATTTAATAGATGAAAGTGCCAATACACGGATTCAAAATGAGGTATGATGTTGAAAACAAAATTGATGATATCTGAACGCAAAGTCGTAACTTTTTTAGGCATCAGCCCTTGAAACCAAATACAGAACGGAGTTAGAATCTAAAAACGAGGAAATTCGAAACTTGAAAGCGGACTCAGCGAATGCAAAGTCGTTTCAGAATGAATCAAGCAAAAAGAACCATAAATACCCTGAAGGAATAGTGCTAGAATATTCTAGGACAGGAGCTGCATTTCCCAACTTGGAAACTCAACTCAAACAATACTGCGATGATCTTCGAGAAGAAAAGAAACATACCAGCATATTGCAGAAAGAGATTACGGAGCTGAAACGGTTGATTTCCAATGAAGAATTCCTCAATAAAAAATTGAAAACTTGGATAGGAGATAAGGACAAGCAAATTAATCAGTATGAGGAAGAATTACGAAAACAAACAATTATCGCGAATAAACTAGAAGAAATGAAAACAACGGAACTGGAGAGGCTCACCCAGTTAAGGTTCGAAGACCAGGAAGAAATAAAAGAGCTTTGGAAAAAAGTTCATTGTTTGAAGGCCGAACTGTCAGATAAGAGATTCACCGAAAGAGACGTTAAATTAGTTTCGACAATAACGGCCTTTTTACTGATCCACCCGTTCGGAGTGGATTTCGATTGTATCATAGAGTACGTCAAAAGAATGGATGTCACTGCTGAAGTAGTGGAGGTCCAGTCCGTACTTGAAAGATGTTCCTCTGTCTTCATTAGCGAAGACAAAAAGTGGATGTTGAAACCGCGTTCTAATCAAGGTGAGTTGGTTTTTGAACGGATAATACTGGTTCACCCACGAAAAAAACAATCTAAAACAGGTTTGACTTCTATTGTATCCCTATTCATTCATATGATTTCTGTAAATCTTTGGTCATAATTTTTTATTTTTATTGCTTCATTTTAAGTAATATGAAGTCAATAGTTCACTTATTTTAATCACAATTATCATTCTGTGTCAAATAATAAGCTCTCTCTTGAGTCGAATACTTAAAAGTTCATAGACTAACATAGAAATGGAATTCTTCTTAAAATTTGATTTTATGATTCAATATAGTTGCCCTCGAGGTCGACGCAAAGATTATAGCGGTTATACAATTTTTCAATACCATTTTATAGTACGATTTTTCTTTAGCCTCAAAATAGGCTTCAGTTTCGACAATCACCTCTTCATCGGTGCTGAATGTCTTTTTAGTGAGCATTCTCTTGAAATCTGAGAATAGGAATAAGTCGCTGAATAGGAATAAGATCTGGAAATACGGTGGATGCGAAAGCAATTCGAAGCACAATTCAAGCATTCTAACCCTATGTGATAGTCGCTGTTGGTTGTTTTTCCCCTCTCAAGATAGTCGATGAATATTATACAATTCCAAAATACTGATACTTCACTTTGCGGTCGTCGAAAATGATTTCGAGGATTTGTTTGATGTTTTCGTCAATAATAACCTTTTTGGTGCAACCATTGCGTGCATCGTCGTCGGTGCTCATTTCACCTCGTTTAAACTTAGAAAACCACTTCTCAACGGTTGATTTTTCTGCTGCAAAGTCCGAATAATGTTTATCAAGCCAAGCCATGGCTTCAGTAGTATTTTTTTTCACCAAAAAGCAATGCTTTATTAACACACTAAAAACTTTTTCATCCATTTTCTTCAAACTAACAAAAGTTGCTTCACTCATAATGTTCCACAAACTAATAGTCCGACAGCTGTGAAATTTGTACAAGTCTCTTTTGAAGGTTAGGGTTAACTAAAAATCATATAGATTCGTACTAGTAACGCCATCTGTGTTTTAACCTACAAACTTTTCAGCCCACCTAATAAACATCTTCCTCTTATATTTTCTCGCCTCTATAAATAAATCATTGGTCTTTTTGTCATGTTCACGAGTGGAAATTCTAGGAACATAATGTAGGTGAGTATACGAGATAGATCATAAGGGTGATTCGTTAATTGATTTTCCGAGTAACTCCAAATAACATGCTATAAAATCAAAGTTTATCTTAATAAAATTGTCTTGTTGAAGTAACTTTTGCCCGTAAGGATCAATGAGTCTGTCTAATAAAGATGCTCGTTTTAATTTTCAATAATTTTTTGACACAAAAAATGCCTGAATGTGGTTTACATAGGAGATAGATAAATAGTGTTGTGGATTTTTTTTAATGTACTGAAAACCAATAATTTTGTAGTAGATGGTACTTACATATAATTAACTATTACTCCAGCGGATGCAAATAAAGTAGTTCAATGTTTTTTCTTACGACTCGCTTTAGATAGATAGCCTCTAGTCTTCCTCAATTTTTTTTACAACTAAGTATTCATGCAAAATCGAATCTGGCATTATCAGTTCCGCACTGCATCGATGTTTTGTGGTACAACAACCGATTTTTTACGATTTTCACGGAATTCGTCGGCAGCCGAACTACGACTACGATTGAATTCACTATACCAGCGATATACTGTGGAATGATGATACTTTATCACCATGCAAAGAACTAAGTTCATCGACACTTTATTGTTGAGATAATCCTCGTCGAAAGTTGTGAAAACTATTCCAATGAACCCCTTCTCTTGAAATTGAAATTTTTTGGCCAAATTGATTTGATTAAAACGACGTTTATGCTAAAAAATGTCAAACTTTATTATGGTGTTGCCACATTTTACCTATTGAGATTAGTGTTGCCATTGTCCGAAATATGAATAGTCACGAGACAGCAGAATAAATATTTATTGAGATATGGAGCTTCAAAAACACATGACATTTAAAAGAACAAAACATTTGAAACAACCTAATCTTACACTTGCGCACACATCTCAGAAAGTCAGTTTTTTTCAGACCAGAAAACAAACTGGCTCAATTCTAAAACTGCCAATCACTCAGCTGAGCCACCTTCTCAAATGCAGCAGGACAAATCAAGTGTCGCCCCGTTGCACCCACTCCCTCAAATACAGTCCCCCACAGGTGGAACAAGTTCCATCTCAGGAGTCCCTCCCCCCATTTATCAAGCTCCAGTGTTACTGGGGAAAGAACCTGTCTCGCCTCAAATACAATCTTCGTGTGATCCAAACTCGCCTTGTGGAATATCATCCCCTGGTTACGAAATGGAGTTGAGGGATAACGGACTGTCTTCATTCGCAGAGGAACTTCGACTAGTGAATATCCTCCGCAAGTTTCCGGACAACACTCAGTGGTCGCCGCAGTTGAAGAGAAGGTGTCAGGAAATTGCGGTCTTCAGAAATGAGTAAGTTTAGAAGAAATCTCTCCAAATGTCGTTTTAGCAATAGTTTGCATCTAATTTATGTGAAATTGACCGTAAGTGGTCCAATCTTGATTTTTTGTGAAATTCTGCAAATAATCGCAAATAGAAATAATCACATAGTAAGTGAATAAAATATGAACGAAACTTTTCGACCTTCAGGCACAATAGTGGAGGGAGAATGTTCCCGCTGTTTGTTGTTGGCTAGGTTTGTCAGGAGTAGGAGAGCATGTGGGTTCGCCTTCTCGACCCTCTCAGTGTCCAGGGCTGCTCCTGGCAGCGGATTGCTATACAGTTCAATATTTTTTCGTACATGCATACCACATTGACGAAAAGCATACATTTTGACTTCATTTGGACTTTTGAATTGATTCGAACGAGGCCACGGTATATATTTACAAATTTCAATCACTTCGTCCTTCGATAGTCGAGTAATCTGTCTATTTCTGTCTCATTATGATAGGCGTGTCCGTCTGTCATAGAACTCATAGATCACGATCACGTCGATCACAGAGCACAAAGCACTTACTTATCAGATCAGTCAAATGTCAAATCTGTCGAAAACCGCTGACGCTAAAAGAAAAATAAATCCACAGTGAGAAAAGAGAAATGACGAATTTTAAATAAATATTTATGAATGGTAGCTGGTAGTTCACCTCACCCCTCTTGATTTTTGTTTTAGGAGACTTTGTGTTGTCATTTGATTTGATACATAATACAAGCAAAAGCTAGATTAGTGAATGCAGAATTTTCAATTAACATCAATGCAAATAATAATCAAATCAATATATTTTCAATAACCACTTCAAAATATTTACATTTCACATACGATGGACTGTCTGCGCATGCGCTAATCGCTTTATTCCATCTTTGCATCATGTGGGAAGCTGTCACTTGTCAATTATTCTGATGACAGTGTCGGCGACCATTGATGCTATACAATTATAGCGAAAAGCATACATTTTCATCTGTCATTTTCGTTCAATTTTTTTTGCCTTGGTGCAGCACTGTGTCCACCGTGAGGATGTCGGAGCAAGAGGTACATACGTCAATTGCGCAACGTGTTGTAATCAAGTTTCTCGCCGGCCGAAATCTTGAAGAGATTGGCTGCCCAGTTCGGGGAAGAGACACTGTCGCGAGCCCGAGTGTTTGCATGGCATAAATAGTTCGTGGAGGGTCGTGATCGTGTTGAAAATGAGAGCCATGACCGCAGACCTCGCATCAGCATTACAGCGAACAATATCAGCAGTGTTCGACGGCTTATTGAAGATGACAGACGTCGTACCACTTCTGAAATTGCAAGTGAGGTCGGGATAAGTTATGGGAGCACTTACTCCATACTCACAGAGGAGCTAGGGTACCGTGAGGTACCCTAGCTCCTCTGTGAGTATGAGCCCCTAGCTCCTAGTGAGGTCTCACAGCTGACCAGAAATTGCATCGCATTCAGGTGTGTGGGCGTCTTCTTGCACGATTTCAGATACAAGAAGACCAATTTCTCACTCACATCATCACCTGTGATGAAATATAGGTGCACCATTACACCCCAGAGTGTAAACAAGCGAGTATGGAGTGGAGAAAACAAGGAGAACCTGGACCAGTGAAAGTCAAGTCACGTTTGTCAGCTGGCAAGGTTTTGGCTACCGTTTTTTTTGACCAGCATGGATTGGTGTATCTCGATTTTTTGCACGAGCGCAGGACATTTAATGCGGCCTACTACTGCGACGTTTTGAGTGAGGTCGACTTGCATATTGCCGCTAAAGACGTGACTTATCGATCAGGGAAGTGGTGCTTCTCCATGACAATGCTCGCCCCCATACAGCAGCCTTGACTAGGGAAAAATTGGAGCAACTGGGAAACATCGAAACACCCTGACACCCTGTGACTTTCATGTGTTTGGCCCTCTCAAGGAAGCTTTAGGAGGCCAAAGATTCGATAGTGATGCTGAGGTTGAAACCTACGTGCGCAATTGGCTCCAGTGAGGTATATGTTTCCTTGCAATATCGAGTAATTGAACTTTAAACATATAATCGTCAAATGGTATTATTTTTTGAGACAGCTAGTTAATGATATCAGCTTTTCGCCAAGCAGTTGTTGGTGACTGCCCCAATTGTCTTTCGAACTTTGGCGCGTCCATTTCCTCGTAGTATTCGCTAGTTTTCTTGAACTTGAAGAGTAACAAGCCGTTTTCTAAAAAACCCGAATTGCTACCTATAAGAGTTATTATGAGCCTCTGTCCAGCCAGCTGGCGCTTTTAATCCTGTTGAGAGGCCTTTAATGAAAGCTTGTTGACAACTTTTTATTTCTAAATCTTGCCATACCTTTGAGACAGTATCACATTTGGCCTCATTTTCTTTAAAGTTTTCAAGAATTCTGTCCACACTTCTCGTCAACACTTTAATTTAATCACTAAACAGATTAAATACGTTATTATGCAACATATTTTCATTCTTCTTCAGATAAATTCGGACGTCAGCGTTTGCTTTGACTGTTTTCACTTTCTATATTATTCACAGTTCGCGGTACAAAATTGAACTGATTTTATAATGATATTTCCCTTGTTTTCTATTTACTGTTTATCCTTTTCCTAGAAATGTAGGTATCTAATATTGTGACGTCGACTACATTATAACTTATTAGGAATGTATTAAATCTATAGAAAGTCTATCATTCCTCTTTTATGTTTATCTAGGGTAGGCATTATACAAAAATATTGTTATATTATTTCCAAATTTAGAGGTTTTTATAACAGAAATTCCTAAAGTGTCATCAGTGTTGAAACAGACCCAAATTTTTATAACTAAATTATAATAACAGATCATAGAAAAAACATTAATATTTACTCTATGTATTATTCAACAGATGTTGAGCTCATACTCATATCTCTCTCTATCTTACGGCAAATTCAATCTGCTGTAGCCTTGAAGGTTTCATCGCTTCATATTTTGCTTCCGACATAATTTTGTCTTCAAAAATGCTGTAGTGAAGAATCGAATATTAAAAACTTGCTAATGACACCACTCACAGTATCCACCACTGCACGTACAGCACTTTACCTAGCTAGTCGCTAACTAAATTCATTTGTTTTCGTAATATCGTCGAATAACATACTGGCTGGATGGTGCGCGCTCTTTTATATGAGGCAGCGGGCGGGACTAGTACTTTCGAGAATGGAGACTAGAAACTTCTCGCTTCGCATTGAAGCTTACTGCCATCTATTCTACAGTTTGACAACTATCGGACGGGAAATAGTTACTGTCTAGTCCCTTAGATGGCGTTACAGGAGGAAACGCGCGTTAAGCGTAAATGAGCGGTAAAGTTTGTGTTAAAAGAAAAAAAATAACATTTTCAAATTAGCTATCGACCCCCTAAACCGAATTTTAGTATGAGGACATGAAAGGGAAGTCAAAATTCACAGCTTTCTATTATTTATGTGAAAGGAAAGCCTTCGAAACACCCAGAAATGATGACGATTTTCCTGATAAGGGCTGTTCCATCTTTTTCTTGAAATGTTACCCTTTAATTATATGAAGTTATTATCAATCTTCACAATGTTGCAGGTTCGTCTTCTACCTCAGAGCTAGCCAAAGAAATACCGTGAAAGTTGTGGTTCCAACAGTAGCCCCTGATGAATTTGTCACATTGAGAAATGCGATCACCATCCCAGATAAGTATCCAGAAGAAGTCTACCTGGAAAACCTCATGGCCGACCAATTAGATACTACAAACTCGAGCTCACTCACTACGAACTCTTCTAACAGCCCGCAACGAACTTTGCAACCCGTAAACTCGATAGAAGAAGAATACCGATTCGCTAGAATAGGTCAGCACTTTCCAAACTACTGGAGCTGGTCCGCTCCGCTGAAAAAGCGAATGAGGTATTTCAGTCCGAAAAAATACCTCAATGCAAAAGCTTATCTCAGTCTCAGGTTGCCAGACGGTAATGGGGTTAATTTGTTCCTTCCTAAAATACATCAAAAAAAGATGGCCGCGCTGGAATCAGTTGAGATTCCAGAGAAATATCCGGAAGAGTACATTTTGGATGAAAGGGAAGGAGAGTTGTTCGGGAGGGGCTGGTTCGAGGACAGGAGGGGTGTTCCAAGCCACCCGTATAGTCCAGTTCATAAAAATGTCCCAGAGACATTCGTGGGTCATTCCGAGAGTTACTCAGTTCCACGAGTTGCTTCCATGGAAACCACCCCTTTACACATGGAGAGTGTTCATTTGCCAGGGGATGAAACTACCAAGGAATCGTCCAGGCCAACAACTTTCTCCCCCAGTTTGACAGAAGAAACCCCTGCAGTTCCTTCGATATCTCCAGAGCAAGACAACAAAACTGAGGAAGCGAAGAGGAATGAGGAGGAACAAGTTTTGCAACCGCAAATCCCCTACAGAAAACCACCTGTGCTCCACATAAACGAAGAGGAGTTTGTCCGTTCAGCGAAAAAACGTCGAATCCTCGTATCCCCTCAGGAAACGCCCAACAAGATTAGAAAAACCATCCTGAAAAAACCGAGCTCCCCGCTGAAGGTTTCCAAAGGATTATGGACTTCTCAGAAGTCTTCCGAACATACTCAGAAGCCTCCTAAGAGAAAACGCAATGCAGATCCCGTTACAAATGAGAAAGCAGGAAGTGATACCGTTTTTGGAAACCAAACGACTTCTGAGAGAATTTGGCAGGTTCAAAAATCCTCCAATAAGTTCCAGGAAGTTTTGAAAGTCGACGACAGCATCGTCGTGAGTGAAACCACTGGAAGAAGAACTTTGGTTGAGACCTCTGCAAAAAAATCCGTGAACGAGACTGCAGAAAAAGCTTCAACAGAGGCCTCTGCAAAGAAAGATTTGGACGGGGCAGTTTCAAAGATAGACTCAGAAGAAACATCTGCAAAAAGGTTGTTGAATGTGACTTCTGCAAAGAAAGATGTACCCGAGACCTTTTCCAAAAGAGCATTAAAAGATATTATTGCCCAAGGAAATATAGACGGGACTTTTAAAAGTGGCGAAAAAGAGACCTCTTCAAAGAACGACTTAGAAGAGTACTATGCACACAGAGCCTCAGAAGAGAACCCTTCAAAAAAAGACGTTGAGGTCACCTCTTCAAGAAAAATAGCTGTTGTGCAAGCAGCTGCAAACCAGACCTCTGTAGCAAACAAAGTCCTAGAGGAAACCACTACCGCTGCAAAAAAACCTTCAAAAGAGGCCTCTACAAAAAAAGATGTAGACGGGACCGACTTAGAAGAGAACCCTTCAAAAAAAGACGTTGACGTCACTTCAAGAAAAATCGCTGTTGCCCAAGCAGCTGCAAACCAGACCTCTGCAGCAAAAAAAGTCCTAGAGGAAACCACAACCGATGCAAAAAAACCTTCAAAAGAGGCCTCTGCAAAGAAAGGTGTAGGCGGGGCCGATTCAAAGACAGGTTCAGAAGAAACATCTGCGAAGAGGTTGTTATACGAGATTTCTTCCAAAAGAGCATTAAAAGACACTTCTGCAAAGAGAAATATAGACGAGACATCTTCTAAAACTGGCGAAAAAGAGGCCTCTTCAAAAAACGACTTAGAAGTCAACTATGCAAAAACAGCCTTAGAAGACGTTGACGCCACCTCTTCAAAACAAACCACTGCTGCGCAAGCAGCTACAAACCATATCTCTGCAAAAAAAGTCCTAGAAGAAACCACTTCTACTGTAAAAAAAACCTCAAAAGAAGCCTCTACAAAGAAAGATGTAGATGGGACCGTTTCAAAAACAGGCTCAGAAGAAATATCTGGGAAAAGATTGTTGAAAGTGACTTCTTCCAAAAGAGCATTTAAAGACCCTCCTGTAAGAAGAAATATAGACGAAACTTCTTCTAAAAGTGGCGAAAAAGAGACCTCTTCTAATAACTACTTAGAAGAGAACCCTTTGAAAAAAGACGATGACGCCACATCTTCAAAAATAACCGCTGCTGCACGCCAGAGCTCGGCAAAAAAATTCCTAGGCGAAACCACTTCCAAAATAGGTGAAGAAGATATGTTTTCAAAAAAAGCAGTAGACGAGACTAGTGCAAAAGGAGCCACAGCCCAAATGTCTGCAAAAGTAACTAGAGAGTCAAGAAGATCCATAGAAGAGGTTTTCAGTTGTGGAAAAAGTGTTTCAAAGCCTGGTAGTGTTGATAAGGGCTCCAGAGGGGTGTACGATAAACGTTTAGTAAAGAACCCTCTGAATTTAGCAAAAGAAAAAATGCACTCTACTAACAGTTCAAGTTCATCAAAAGAATTCTCTTCCAATAAAAACAGGAAGAGTTTCAGTACCGCTACAAAGCAAAACCAATCTCACCAAGATGTAGCAAAGATCGAGGGTAAAACCAAAACTGATAGCTCTCTGAAAAACTCTTCAGTTTCCATCAAAACATCTCAGCTTGTGGAAAATCCTGCATCTAGGTCGAAAAAGAAGAAAAAGTCTGATGTAGAAAAAGATGAACGTAAAGATTCGGTTTCCAAGAAACGCGAAGAAAAATGCACAAAGCCTCCGAAAGAAATAAATAACGATACTCTCGTGGTAAATCCTTACAGAAGTAGCTCACAAAAAGAAACTGCAAATAACGCCGAAGATGTTCCGAATATTCATACAGATTCTGCTAAAGCTGAATCATGTGCTACTGAAAGAGCAAAGAAGAATGTTGATAAATCTATTTTGGATGAAGTTGCTATCAACAAACAGAGCACTAAAGACCTTCGATCGATATCTAGTTTGCTCGCTCATATTAAAGAAAAATCAGAAGGGAAACTTCTCGAAAGGACAACTAGTGGTGATAAGACTGGTAGTGGGAAGTCTGAGAAAGAGAAGGAAAACTTTGGTGGCAATGGTTTGGATGAAAGAAGTCAGAAATCAGAGGCTAACATAGTAAACTCTCTAACAGATCCGGCTAAAAAAACCGATCGCCATCTAGATCAGAATAAGGGTCTCGTAGATCCTCCCAAGTTGACTGAGTCAGAGCCATCAACGGGTATAATGAAAGAAAATGTAGGGGATACTGATGCCAACATCAGAAAGAGGCAAAAGAGAGATAAATCACCGATGGAAGTATCAGAGCTATTCAGAAAGCTTTTTAGCAATTCGGACGAAATTGTCAATTCTAAAAGAGATGACTCCAATCGAGACGTTAACAAACTTGACGAATCATCTGGAAGGGCTGCTGAGGAAGATACCAAAAAGAAAAATTCTCAAGACGAGAAGAAATCGGAAACAATGGCTGTTAAAAAGGATTTGCAAAGTTCTTCTTCCACTAGCAAAGATGCAAAGCAAAATAAACATAAGAGGGTGGCAGTGAAACAGAATGAAAGCAAGATAATGACTTTCGAAGAGTTTCTTGGCAACTTTGAAAGTGCTAGTGAAAAAACTACTAAGGAATCAAAAAATAAAGACGCTGACGATGTAGGGCAAGCATCCAAGAAGACGCGAACTTGTGAACTTGAGAAAAGTTCTACCTCTAAAACTGTGAATAGTGCTTCGAAAGCTGCCGATTCTATAAAGAGAAAAATGAAGCAGAACCCCTCTGAATCGGCAAAGTCTTCCAAATTGAGGGTCCTCAGCCCAGAAAAAATAAACGCTCTTCAAAAACCAGTCATTTGCCCTAAAGCTAAGAAAAACGCCCCAGTCTGCTTGAAAAAGTCGTCAAAAACACAACTATCTGAGAAGGAGGATACTAGTTGTGCTGAAGATAATTCTTTGAAAGGTGATTTTGAAACGCTAAAGGAAAATGTCTTGATGGAAACATTTGATAATTTGCAGCAAAGCATTGAGGTATATGACCTTACTACAGATGAAAACTGGGAAGAAATGGAGGAATCAGCTAATTCAGTTGGCGATGAAAATAAAAGTAGTGGCCTAGAGAGTTCGATGGAGAACACGAAAAAGAAAAACGAAATTGAAGAGTCAAAATGTGGGACCTCACAAGACACCAACTGTGATGTCATTAAGACCAACACAGAGGAAGTTGAATCTCAAGAAGAACCTAGCGAAACTCCAGTTGAGGGAGACTTTCAGGAAAGTCTCGGCTTCAGAGCTTTCTCAACAGACGCGCAGCAACTTTGTAACCAGCTTCACGAGTTATTCGCAGATTCTCCAGATGAGGATTTTTTCGCGGATAAGCAGGAGCGATCCAAAAGAATTGAAGAAAATTCAACCTCGGACGGTTCCGATGGCGAACAGTACTGTGATACTTACTTGTCATCTGCAGATATTCTGAAGATGGTAGAGCAAGGATGATTTATTTGGTATTAGTTATCTGTGAGTTTATCTAATATAAGATTATTTAGCTAACGAAAAAAAAAGGGAAACATCAAAGAATGTAAACTTTCTCGGCCAGAGATAACTGTGCGAAAGCTAGTTTCCAGATTTTTTGTCCGTGGTCTGAAGGTTTTTATGACTGACGTTTCGTAAACTACTGCGGCAAAGGCAATGTGATAACAGTCGCAGTGTCCTTGTTGGAGCTCGGTTGTGAGTTAGTGGGCGAGGCTTCGTTGCTCTTCATTGGATTACCTGACCTTGTTTGTGCACCTGTAAGGACAGGTAGCCAGATTTTATTGATGTTCATTGCCTCTTCTATTTCTATTGAAATTATACCTGTGTTTTTTAATTTCTATCGCCTCTTTATATACTCTTGTATAGTAATTTTTAATTTTATCGAGTGTTACTGTATTGAGAGACGTAACCCATACTTCTCTTCGTGGTTCCAGTATAGACCGACTCATAGCTACAAGGAATTAGATAGATACTGATAGATACTGATACTTTATTGTCTAAGAATAACTTCTTATTGACAAAGTGTCATAAGTAATCATTAAAGTAATGAAGGTACAAAATACAAGTAAGCATAAAAGTGGAAGTATAAAAATTATAAAATTAGTCGAGACGAATAAGATGAGATTAATGTGTATAAACAAATAAGTCGCAAAAAAGTAAAACAAGTCTAACAAAAGTAAAAACATGCGCCCGAGGCGCTCATCAGTCTACTATACAAAACTATAAGGTAAAATACAAGACAACAAAGACAAATCATCAGTTTTACATTTAAAGCGAATCGTTAAAAAACTCATCCAAAGTGTAGTATGCCTTATCAAACAGTAACTCTTTGACACTTTTCCTAATTTTTCTCTCTGAATTTAGATCTTTGATATTCTGGGGTAAATGATTGAAAATTTTTTTTGAGTTATAAATCAGGGAATTTTTAACTTGTGTAGTGTTGGGCTTAGGAAGATCCAAATTACCCATCTGTCTAGTCAGGTAACTAGGGTTTTTTATGGTGTTTCTATTTAACTTATGTTTTTTAAACATCAAACACACCGTCTCTAGTATAAATATGCAGGTAAGGGTCATTATTCTATGTGATTTGAATAGTGGACGACATGAATCTCTAAAGCCAGCCCTACAAACATACCGGACAGCTCTTTTTTGTAGCTTAAATATCATATTGAAAGATGCTTTGTCGGAATTGCCCCAGTAGCAGATCCCATATCTCAGGTGTGACTCTATAAATGCAAAATATGTTGATCTTGCCATGGTTGGGTCGAGTTCCTTGGATATGACTCTAAGTGCATAATAGCCTTTGGCAAGTTTGGTACATAAACTTGCGACATGTTCCTTGAACGTCAACCTACTATCAATAAATACCCCAAGGAATTTAGCCAAAGAGGATTCTTGTAGACATTTATCACCTATTGAAATTGGGTTTAACAAACATTTAAAGGTGAGAATGTGGGTTTTATTTACATTGAAGGACAACAGATTGGCGTCGCACCATTTCTTGACCTTGTGAATGTCATTTTCTATTATTGCATTCAAATGATGAGTGTCTTTATTATGCCAAAGAATGGTGGTATCATCTGCAAAAATTGTAAATCTACCCGCAATATCCAAGAGTGCAAGATCATTCACATAAAGCAGGAATAATAAGGGTCCTAAGACAGAGCCCTGTGGTACTCCACAATCCATCAAAGACTCATGAGAGGTTAGACCATCAGAGTAGACCACCTGTCTACGTTTATAGAGATAAGACTCGAACCATTTCAGAGCCACATCACGGAAACCATATCTCTCTAACTTTCCCAGTAATATTCTGTGATTCACACAGTCAAAAGCCTTCGACAAGTCGCAGAATACCACTGCCGCGGCTTCATTGTCATTAAGCTTAAGGTATAGATGCTCGAGTAGTTCAAATGTGGCATCAGAGGTGGATTTGTTACGTTGGAAACCAAATTGGGTCGTCGATATTATATTGTTTTTGTTCATGAATGATAGAATTCTTCTTTTAGTCTTTCGATGACTTTGGAGAGAGCGGGTAGGAGAGAGATAGGTCTAAAGTTACTAGGGTCATTATGATTGCCCCCTTTATATATTGGAATAATATATAATAATTCGATATATCCCCGTGTTTCTAAAGGTTCTCGGGGTCTGGTCAGTTGAATGAGTTTCTCAGGAAGACTCTCAGGTTCACAAATGTATCGTGTGCGCTCCCAACCAACGTTTTAATTACCCCTCTCTTTCGTTGTGGCTGGTGGCCTGAACAAAAACTCTAACCAACAGCCACAACAAAAACTATCGGACAATGTCTGAGGTTTGCTAAGCAGCCCCCGGGATATACCGGATTCCTTGTAGTTGTGGGTCGGTCTATATCGGAACCACAAAAAGCTGTAGCCAAACATGCTCTCGACTAAAAAGGCACTCATATTAGCTGATTGGAAGATACATTAATACTCGATAAAACTCAAAATAACCATCCAAGAAGAATATATATAGAGCCGTTACCACATCGCCTTTGATGTCTACCGCAGTAGTAGACGAAACGTCAGGCATAATAAAAACCTTGAGACCACGACCGAAAAACCAGGAAAATAGATTTAGCACAAAAAACAGTTTTAATACTATCCGTTTCGATAATTTATTGTTTATATCTAGTCCCAAAATAAGGTTATTTTCGTTTGTAAGTGTATAAGGAAACAAACATCACCATTTTTTTTACTACCCACAAAAGCAGTTAATACATTTTTTTTACCAAATATCATTCGTTATTATTTATTTCTTATGGAAATCGATCACATGATAACACAAAAAAATGCAATTTGAACTCGGAAATACTAAAAACGAAATCTATCTTCATAACAATAACCTAACATTTCAGTTAATATGGTTCAGCCAGCAAGTTGTAGTAAATAAATATATTTTAAATAACTAAAAAACACGCATTTAAAGAACCTCAAACTAAAAAGTTGTTTTTTTTTTTTAATAAGCTCAAAACAATAACGAACGAAAAATTCTAGTATTATTGTGATAAAAGCGACGGGCACTTGATATACAAAAAATATGGCACAAAGCGCCCACGCTTTTTTCACAATAATAATAGTATTTTTCGTTCGTTATTGTTTTAAGCTTATTAAAAAAAATCTTTTTAACTTTTTAGTTCGATGTTCTTTAAAAGCGTTTTTTTAAGTATTTTTAAACTATATTATTTTTTTAGTTTCGTAGTTTCTTGTTTTAAAGTCTTTTTAAACTATATTTATTTTATCTTTTAACTTTGGGATCATTCACTCGTATATTGTTTAGAAACATGACCATTGATACTTTCCGATTTCGGAGAGGGAGCCTGAAAATTATATACAGCGCCATCTGCCCACATATAGATCAAGCAATAATGTCGATATATCAAGGAGTTACGTACAGCGCCATCTGCCCAAAAATAGGTCAAGCAATAGTTGATAGTTGCGTACAGCGCCATCTGCCCGCGAATAGATCAAGCAATAACGGCGGTAATTCTGTAAAATACAGATCCCGAGCTTGAGAGTTACAAACATACATACAGGTGAAACTTGAACCTTGTATAAAAATAAAAGTCAAAATTCGATAAAATTCCCTGGTAGCAGTGGCGCCACTTCACAGATGTGTTTTTTTCAATATTTCTCAAAGACCTGATAAGTAGCTCACATGATTGCATCAGATGCTTTTTCATTGCGTCTGAATATCATTATCCAGACAATGTTATTAGTTGGTTAGTCTGTATACAAAGGTTCCACAGTAGACGCCATCTAGTGGGCAGAAGCCGAAATTCTGAAATTACTTTTTGTCTGTAGGTTTTACAACATTTACAATCAGACTACTGTAACATTCTTAGTAAAAGGATCTTTGATGGAATTGTGATAATTGTTCCAAAATAGACTCTGTACAATAAAGTTGTGTTTTAAAAATAGTTTACCACTAACAAAAAAAACAAAACACCCAGCTTTGCATTTTCAAAGAGCCCAGTAGCTTACGTTGATCGAATGACTGCGTTTTCTATTATTGACAGTGCAGGATGTGTCGTATTGTGGTTGAACTGATACAAAGACATATACAAAGATAATTTATTTTGATTGTTACAAAGTACTGAATATAAATTTAAAAACAAAGGCTTGTTTTTCTAAAAGGAAAGTATAACAAAAACAAAATATATATCACAAAACGCTAGTGGCGAATCGGAGATTAAAATAACCTGTTTGTAATGTCAATAAATTTGGTAGCTATACATTAACGAGTATGAAAAAACCAAAAAGTATTGAATAATGTCTAAGAAGAGTCAGAAAAGTTCTCATCTGGTCTCAACAACATAATAAATGTCCCTGATACAATTCTACAAAAAGATCCAAAACAGCAAAGAACTGGAAAATTGAACTCAGAACAGGTGAATTCATTAGCTGATTCATGTCTTTTTTCTTGGTGAACACTTCATCATAGACGATTTTACTTGTAATTTTATTTGTCAGATGCTCTAGCAAATATCTCATCATTTTTCCCCCGAGTTTTACGTTGACGCAAACGCCATCTTGCGGAAATGATCTACTAGAATAGACCTGTGGAGTGAGGATTATTGAGACCATTAAATTTGACTAAGATTGAGATATACAGTTGAGATTACGAAAGAATACACATAAGTCATCAATAAAATATGCGATAAAACATATTTTTATTTATCATCTTTTTTTGTTACAAGTGGAAATCGACGACAGAATAATTAATGTTTGAGAGAAGAAATCTTTTGAATCAACTTTATAGTGAGATTTTCAATGGAAAGTTTACAAAACCGCAACAAGTGTTTCACTATGAATTAGCTTCCCAAGGCGTGTTCATAATCATCATAATCATTTATTGTAGAATTATAACTTTTTAATGTGAATATTGGGATTATTCCTATCCAATAAAGACTACTCACTTACTTATACTGACTGATCTCTACTTAAATAGTGCTTTTTATAATATAACGAATAATATGCTTAAAAAAGGTTTGCAACTGTAGAAACTATTTCAATGTTCTTTTATTCTTTGGGAAAAGATTCTTTCCGTTTGGCCAATATCAAGTGTTGGACAAGTATCACAAGTCAACTCATATACTCCAGATTTATCTGACACTGAAGTTTGGCTTTATTGTCTTTAAATAATTATTTGTTCTGTAAGCCACGTCCAAGTCTCTCTTTTTCAAATAGTAGTGCCTGTGTTTTGTCCAAAAAAAAACAAGTGATATGGCTTCACCAAAGTATGTCAATAACTTATGACGTCATTGAAAATCTACAATTCCACTAAAAAAATTGAAAGAAAAAAAAAAGAAACACAATCAATTTATAAATCGTCATCATGTATCTGCCTTTTCCATAAATATCTGGAAAAGCGAGTTTATGAATTTTCATCAGTATCAAGCAATTTCATCGAAAGACTTGGAAAAAAAGGCAGAGAAACAATTCATTTATGTATCGACCACTTTCACAAACAACCTCAAGAAGAATGGTGGGGAAGCAATCGATTTATTTATTTTCATAAAATATTGTTCCAACTTCATAAAAAATCTCGATAAGTGAATTCATAAATTTTCATCAGTATCACCAACTGAGGAGAAAAATGTAAAAAATTTTCATCAAATACCAACCAACTTAAAAAAATCCCAAAGAGAAAATTCATAACTTTTCAACAAGTATAAGTAAAAATTTCAAAGATGAAAGATTGGTTCATAAATTTTCATCAAATACCTCGCCAATTTTAAGAATTTATAGAATTACTGATCCGAGTGGAAATTTTGATTCAATATTGTAGAAATTAGAAACGAAAAAATTAAGAAAAACGCTTATAGCGAATTAAATTCATGTGCTATGTCCAAAATCTGGTGCAGTTGTTTAGAGATACATAAACGACCAACTTACACCAGTAACTGATGGTAACAGTTACTGGTGCAACTGATTTAACAGTTACGGGTGTAACTGAAGTAAGAGTGTTCAAGAAACACTACGTTTTAAGATTTTCAATAAACAGTTTTACAAAAACGCATTCCATCACAAATGATGTAACAGTTACTGGTGCAACTGATTTAACAGTTACGGGTGTAACTGATGTAAGTGTTCAAGAAACACTACATTTTAAGATTTTCAATAAACAGTTTAACAAAAACGCATTCAATCACAAATGATGTAACAGTTACTGGTGCAACTGATTCAACAGTTACGAGTGTAACTGATGTAAGTGTTCAAGAAACGCTACATTTTAAGATTTTCAATAAACAGTTTAACAAAAAGGCATTCCATCATAAATGATGTAACAGTTACTGATGCAACTGATTTAACAGTTACGAGTGTAACTGATGTAAGTGTTCAAGAAACGCTACATTTTAAGATTTTCACTAAACATTCTTACAAAAATGCATTCCATTACAAATGATGTAACAGTTACTGGTGCAACTGATTAACAGTTACAGGTTTAACTGATGTAACAGTGTTCAAGAAACACTATATTGTAAGATTTTCACTTAACAGTTTTATAAAAACGCGTTCATCACAAATGATGTAACAGTTACTGGTGCAACTGATTTAACAGTTACGGGTTTAACTGATGTAACCGTGTTCAAGAAACACTATAATGTAAGATTTTCACTAAACAGTTTTACAAAAACGCATTCCATCACAAATGATATAACAGTTACTGATGTTACTGATGAAGCTACAGTGTAATGCAACATGTTCTAAATTAATTGTATTGTGACAATTATATATTTATTGTTATAGATAGTGAAACTACATTTAAAACTATACCAATATATGTCTACCGATATGTGTTATTAGCAGAAAGTGATAAGTAAAATTTGTTTTGTAGCCTTGTCATTATTGCAAAATCTCAAATGTTATAATCGAAACTTGAGGACGAATATAGAAAATATTAGGTACAATAAACATTCAAGATATTTTTGAAACTGTTTTTGATATTTTTGTATTATTTTTATTAATAATGACTTTAATTCCAAGAAAGATTTATGTTTATAGAGGGAATAAAAGAGAATGAAAAATATTATGAAACAACAACAAAAAAAAATAATGAACACAATTTACTACAATTATTTTCAAGTTTTTCTTGTACTTGAATTGGAATTTCAATATTTTTTGAGTTGCAGTTTGTATTTCACATGACAAATTTATTCAACTGCTTTCAACGGTTAGTAATTTATTTGAAAATTATGAAACATTCAACTTTTATTATTTTATTTATGTTTGAGACAATCACGTTATTGGCTGAAATTTATAATTAGTTTTTGAGATCGCAATTCCTTCACAATTTTTGAAGCTTGTATTGTAGAACTTGTAAATGAATTATCTAAAAGTCTGCATTTACTGAAATTTTGATATTGAGAAATTATTTATTCTATAGTTTTTTCACGAACTCAGATTTTTGTATTGTTTATGCATACTTGGAATTCCCACAATGAACATACATTTTATAAAAATATGTGTATATGAATGGCAAAGAGACTTTCGACTAAAACAGGTCTATACCTTCCACATTTCTGAAACTCTACCAAAATTTCAATCTCCGAAACGCGTGCACCCGAACCTCTAAACTCAATCAGAGTCTCTCTCGAGCTCCATATCTAAATCGCTGTCCAAATCCGATGCGAAGTGGTACATCATGTCGATGACATCGTCGTCATCGGATTCTTGTTCGTTCAACTCATCCGGCAACTGGAGAAACCTCTTTTTCTTCTCCTCCTCGACGGCGACCTTCGTCAGATCGTAGTGGATGTTCCTCTGCTTCTGCTTGGCGAGAATCAGCCGGGGCCAGTCGATCGGTTTGGTTTTCGATAGTGTTATTCTGATCTCTGGACCGGGAGAGGTGTGCTGCATGCTGTCGACGGTTTCGTAAAGGACGAGTTTCAGGCAGTAAGTCTTTTCGTTTTTGTCGGTTCTGAAATGTGATTGCATAGAAAATCAATTGAGTTCGATAGAAAATAAATATCGTTTGAAAAACTAAAAAACACGCTTTTAAAGAACATCGAACTAAAAAGTTAAAATATTTTTTAAAATAAACTTAAAACAATAACGAATGAAAAATACTAGTATTATTGTGACAAAAGCGTCGGCGCTTTGCGCCATATTTTTTGTATATCAAGCGCCCGCGAATAGATCCAGCAATAATGCCGGTAATTCTATCAAATACAGATCCCGAGCTCGAGAGTTACAAGCAAACAAACATACATACGTACGTACATACATACATACAGGTGAAGCTAATAAAAGCGTGTTAAAAAAAATGGAAACCACAAGGATCGGCTTTCACGGCTGGTGTCAATGATTTCTGTCGTATTTCACTAGTTCGGACTTCCATTGTCTACTATATAAAATGATTTGAAAGCCCTGAAACAAGTAAAAAAGAATAATTAAAAAAGAATAGTTGAAAATAACAATTATATTAAGCAACAATAAACCTGAAATGAAATGATAGTGAAATAAC